AACACTGTTGCTGATCATCTTAGCCGGTTGGTGCGTGATGAAGAGTCACAACCAAATTTAGAACTCTTTCCAGATTAGAATTTATGGGCCATGCAAGGTAAGGAAGGTAAGGAACCATGGTTTGTTGACATTGTTAACTTTTTAACTATTGGTAAATTTCCACCTGGTATGAGTACTTTTAAAAAGAATAAGTTAAAAAGTGCTTCAAAGTATTATATATCGGATGAACCTTATTTGTGGAAACTTGGGTCAGATCAGATTATTCGAAGATGTGTTCGTGATGATGAAATTCATTCCATACTTCCTTATTGTCATACTCATGCATGTGGTGGACATTTTGGTCCGAAAAGAACAGCAAGAAAAATTTTGGATTGTGGTTTTTATTGGCAATCTGTGTTTAAAGATGCATACCATTTTTGTAAGCGTTGTGAAAGGTGTCAAAGGATAGGTAACATATCATTTAGGAATGAGATGCCCCAAGTCCCTCTATTATTTTGTGAGATATTTGATGTTTGGGGTATGGATTTTATGGGTCCTTCAAGTTCATTTGGTAATCTCTATATTTTGCTTGCAGTAGATTATGTGTTGAAATGGGTAGAAGCAAAAGCTATTCGAACTAATGACTCTAAAGTTGTTGCAGGATTCCTTAAATCTAACATTTTTAGTAGGTTCGGAGTACCAAGAGCAATCATTAGTGACCAAGTCACCCATTTCTGGAATCGCACAATCGAAGCATTGATGCGCAAATACGGTGTACATCATCGTGTATCTACTGCATATCATCCTCAAACCAATGGACAAGCTGAGGTTTCAAACCATGAAATTAAGCAAATTTTGGAAAAGACTGTGAACCCTAACCGCAAGGATTGGAGTCTTTTTTTGGGCATACAGCACAACTTACAAAACGCCAATTGGGATGTCACCATACAGGTTAATTTTTGGTAAAATGTGTCATTTACCAGTTGAACTTGAACATCGTGCTTTTTGGGTAGTTAAACAGTTCAACATGAGTATCCATGAGGCAGGATCGGAAAGGAAGTTGCAACTTCAAGAATTGGAAGAGATTTGATTGGAGGCTTATGATAATGCTCAATTATATAAGGAGAGGACAAAGCTTATTCATAATAAATTCTTGAACAAGAAAGAATTCTTTGTTGGCCAGAAGGTACTTCTTTTCGATTCCAAACTCAAGTTTATGCCACGAAAGTTGCGGTCAAGGTGGCATGGACCCTTTATAGTTATGAAGGTGTTTCCTCATGGTATGATTGAGATTAAAGGGTTGAAGTCCGGTAAGATTTTTCGAGTTAATGGTCATAGACTAAAACATTTTTTTGAGAATTTTGAAAGTACTTGTGTGGAAGAAATTACTTTGCTTCCACCCATATATGAGTAAGTGAGATACATGTTGTGTCTAGCCAAAGACACTAATGAAAGGCGCTTGTTGGGAGGCAATCCAATGGTTTGATTTTTGTTATTTGTTTTCTTGAATAAATCGACTAGGTGGTTAAGTTTTTTGTTCCTGATGATCTTGAGATCTATGATTTCTTGATTTTCGTAGTTTTTCTTAATCATTTAATAGACGTAGAGTTAGTTTTTTTTAATGGTTTGTTTGAGTGTGACAGGTAGCTTTCGAGGAAAATTCTTCTATGTGGTCAATCCCTTTGATCCAATGCAAAAAGATGTTACTCCCGCTTCACATCAAGTTTGATTCCTCCACTACGAATTCCCAAGGAAGTACCGTTTTCTTTTCTCTTTAATATTATTTGGGAGTTTGTATGTGCTTTTATTCTTTGTCTCTGCATGTTTTATACATTGAGGACAATGTATGCTTTAGGTGTGGGGGAGGAGTTTGTGTGTTTCAAATTTGTCTTCATTAAATTGCTTACTTAAAAGAATTAAACTTCTTTTTGATAAAAATTTTTCAAAAATTTGAGTCTGAACCAATGTTTTCAAACGTTTCAACTGTTATGTTGCTAATCATCATAGGTTGAAAAGTGAAGCATGAAAAACATAAATTTTTCTTAGCTATGTACTATTCAGATATGTTGTGAATTTAAGTGTTGAAGTTGATGATTGGAACATTATCACAAAAAAAAAGTTACTTTAAATTGAGTGATCTGAGCTTTTCTGAGCAAATAGGGTTAGTGTATTTGAATGCTCAATATTTTTATGTGGGAAGTATATCATCTCTAGTATGGATTAATCTTGAATTTGCCGAGCTAGGACACATCTGTGCTCTTGTAGATAGCTTGCCACAAGAATAAAAGCACTAGGATTTAGCCAAGTTAGCTTAAAAAGCTTACCCATTTATGTTTACCCCTAGTGAACCATTCAAGCCTTAACCGTTTTTCTTTAGCTCCACATACATTAAACCATTAGCATTTTTTTTTTTGCCATTAAACCATTCAACCATTATCCTTTACCTTTTTGTCAAGCTCTGGATTAGGTTGCTTAAATTGGGTTTGTGATAAGAGTTGGACATTATAGTGGCATGCGTTCTTGTTTTAAGTTATGCATTTGATGTAATATAGGGCGTGCGAAAAAAAGAGAAAAATGCAAAAAAAGGGAAAAATACCTGGAAAAAAAAGAAGAAAAAAAAATAGCATGAATCCCTATTTTCTACTTGTTTGAGAGTATGGCAAGTTCTTAATTATATTTTTGAGATGACATAGGTTTGTAAATGTAATATGAGAAGTTTACTGCAAGTTCTTATGCAAAGCACACTTGACTATGCATAGTATTAGAGGAGCTTATGTTTGATTGCCTAATTTATTAAGTTTATGATTGATGTGTGACATGGTGGTTGAGATTGTGTTTTAAATGATTTCCAAATTTTGTTGTTCAAAGTAGTGGTTTGCAAGTTGAGTTAAAAGTTATTCTTTTTAAGTTTGCTTGAGGACAAGCAAAATCTAAGTGTGGGGGAGTTGATAATGTTAATATTAGCATGATATTTGTGGTGGTTTATGTGTTATTTTGAATATTATCTATGCTAATATTAGTGCTTTGGTTCTTAATTTGATCATAGGAAGGATTTGGAACAAAAGGAAGAAAAGTGTTGATTTTGAAGAGATTTTGAAGGTTTTATTGAATCAAATTTCAAGTTGGAGAAGAAGTGGTTGATTCCCGCGTCGGCACACAAAATACATGCCAAAACCAATGAAGGAAGCAGGAAAGTCCAGAAACGACGTTCTATTCCCATGTGGGCACGCTGAAACAGGGACTAAATTGCAAAATTTCCAAAGTGTTGGGATCAATTTGTAACTTTAGTAAAATTTTGGGGCTAATTTGCAAATTCTGAAAAATTTAATTGGTTGCTGCGAGTTTAGAACGGGCTGAACGTGGGGATGCCCTAAATTTGCATATAAATAGTCTTTTTCTTATTATTAAGAAAGGGAGGAGAAGAGGTACAACACAGGGAGCGACGGCTGGAGCTCAGGACAAGGATTCCTCTCCGTTTTCGTCAGTTTTAGCTTTGTAATGTCAAACATCAATTCTTGTGTTGTTGATTTCACCATGATTAGCAACTAAACCTCTTTTCTAGTGAAAGCATTTTATTGAAGCCTTGATACTATTCAATTGTGAGATCTAACTGTTTGCTTTTCAGCAACGAGCTTTGAGTATTTATTTATTCCCTTTGATGTGTATTGATGATTATTTGGTATTATTTGAATAGCTGGTAGCATTCAATTCTCTTAGATAATCTAATTTATTGAACAACAAGGTTTGTTTGTTCCTTAGAAGAGACAATGCAAATAATTACTTGATAAGTAGTTTATTTGTGTTGTAAGAATAAATAATCAGTTTTTAATGAAACAAGGTTTGTTTGTTAGAAATTGAGTTGGGTCTTTGTTTGTCGAAAATTGAGTCCTAGGAGGTTCCAGGTAGTGTTTTTGGCTATAGAGTGGTTATTGAAGGTTTCTTAATTGATGGTAATTAATAAAAAAGACTGAGTTGTTATGAGGTTCCAACAACGATAACTAATATATTCATCATTTGTTTAGTTAATCTTTGCATCAATGATCAGTTGAATACATCAAGGTGGAAATTATTCCTTTGACTAGAGTTTCTCTTATTATTGATTTTTCAAAGCTATCTTTTATTGTTCGCCAGTTTTTTTTTGTCATCCATTAGTTAAAATCCAAAAATTCGTCCATTTTGTTACTTTACTTTTGATTAGAAATATTTCCACTTCCTTGCTCCCTGAGGAGACGACTCTACTCATTACTATACTACTAAATTTGTTAGGAGTAGAATCTTTTATTTGTTGGTTTGACATCCACCACACGCATTGGCAAGGTGCAGGCAAGTTGAGGAGAAAGAAATCTATGTGTATTAACAATAGTGGCTTGTATCATGTACGCACGGTTCAAAGCTAGTCTACCGGGTTGTATTACAAGTTATGAAAACGACACTAAGGTAGTGGTTCAAGTCTAACGACATCATTATTTTATGCATGGATTTTGCTGGAATTATTCTGAATCCATTTTTAAAAGTATTTTCAATATATTGAAAAGGGCGGGGGATTGTTGGAATATTTTCAATATATTGGAATATTATTTTCAATATATTATGAAAAGTTATAAAATTTCATGATAGAGATGAAGAGACACATGCCAAATGTTCAAAGGTTGTGTCCAAGGATTCCAATGAAAAAACACAAATTATAAGTGGTATCTAATCATCCCAAAAACTGGAGAGACATCAACAAAGAGTTGTGTTTAATCCTAGGAGTCATTTTTGCATGTGAATGCTTTGACTTATCTCCATTTTTTTGGCCCACCTAAAAAATTCTCAATAATGGACACCATGATGGCTAAAAATCTGATCTTTTTAAGCCACAGTTCACATTGTATGAAACTGAAACAGATAATGAGAAAAAGACTCAAGTGAGTATCGGCCATTGAAGCGGATAAGTATGTAGTTTTGTGTTCTGGGTTCATCCAAACCTAGTTCGTTTCCTACATATTCTCATTAATTAGTTAAACAAGAAGAAGAAGAAGATGGCCTCTGACCTGATTACCTGTATTGGTTCTGCAGTAGATGATCTGCAGTTCCTGGTGGACTCGGGTGTTGCTAATTTAAATTCGGGAATCAAGTTGCTGATGTTCAAGTTAAGGAATATTAGAACATTTCTTTTCTCCGCCAAGATCTTGAGCAATGACGATCCAACTCTCGGATCTCTTTTGCTAGCCATTGAAGATTTTGTTTGTGACATTGCGAAACGATTTCACACCGCGTGCCTTTTTCTGTGTGGTGAAGCAACTAGTGAGCAATTTGATACCGATATTCTTGATCCTGATTCAGAGGCCGGGTTCGGGGAAGATTTTACAACTTGGGACGAACAAATAAGTGAATTCTATGTCGTTATCTTGGAGGATATCCAGAGGCAATCATTCCGTCTCTCGGCGGATTCAGTTTCGAGTATCATGGTTTCTGTACTTCAGAATCTAGAGGCGTTCCACAGCTTGGAATGGGAGGCTAATGGTGAAATTCTAGGAGAACCCATGAAAGCATTGGAAGAGCAGATGAAGTTGTTGAGAAATCTCGCCGCCTTTGTGTCGCGTGCTGTTGATTCCGATGCTTGTAAAGATTTATGTGCGCATGTTGAAGTTTTTTCTATCAATGCTGCATTTCTCCTTTTCAGGTGTGATCCTGAAAAGTGTGATGAAAGTATTTGTGGCGAAATGCTGTTATGGATTTCGGTGTTGATACAGCGTATCATGCCCGTTGATCCTCAGGTCTATAACACTTACACTGAGGTCCTGAATAGCTCAAAGTCAGGGAGGAGATCTCTTGCTCCTGCTGATCGAGACGTGGGCGAAGAGGAGAATTATGCAAGACAATTCCTTGAATCTCTCATGTCTAATGTTTTGGAGATGCCACAACTCTGTGCTCATGCAGTTTCTATGCTGGATCAACTCCAACAACTTTATGACGGACTTGGATCCTTGAGAACCATTCTTTCTCACCAGCCAAACAAGTTTGATTTGGAAACTAAAGACCACATTTTCGATCTGGTATGTGATGCCGCGGTTTTGAATTTCACATCACACCAAACTCATGTAATAAAAGATCATGAACTTCAACATTTGTTGAACGCAATCAGCAGGCTGATTGCTGCTGAGCTGAGGGAAGAAAGTGCGACACCAGAATCAATGTTCAACATTGTTCCAACCACTGCTCCATTGTCTTTTGTTGATTTTTTGTTGGAAAAGCTGGAGGAGCTGACAAGTTGTGAAGCTGAAACAAATTCAAGGGGATATCCCCAAATTATTAAAGATGAACTTGTCTTCTTGAGATCTTTCATGGGAGATATTGCTGAGCTACGCCATGAAAAGAAGGAGCTCCAAACTCTGTGGGATCATACTATGGAGCTGGTTTACAAGGTAGAGCATCTCATTGACTACCTAGTAGTTTGTGATCTTTCAGATTCCTTTGTAGCATCATTTGATTCCATCATGAAACTTTTCGGGAGCATTAAGATGGAAGTTGAAATCTGGAAATCAGAAATCACTCTCCAGAGATTAACCATGACTCATTGTGCTGTGCCACCTCAAAGAACTCTATCATTACATAATGATGTTGTCGGCTTTCTTGACGAAGCAGAATCCATCACAAACCGGCTCACACGGGGCTCAAAGAAATTACAGATCGTGGCTATTGTAGGTATGCCGGGACAAGGTAAGACTACTTTGGCAACAAAAATTTACAATGATGATTCTGTCTCATGCCATTGGTGGGTTGTCAAACAAACAAAAAATAAAAGAACCTACTCCTAAGAAATTTAGTAGTATAGCAATGAGTAGGGTCGTCTCCTCAGAGAGTAAGGAAGTGAAAATATTTCTAATCAAAAGCAAAGTAACTAAATGGAAGAGATTTTGGATTTGTAACTAATGAATAACAAAAATAATTTGCAAGCAATAAAAGATACTTTTGAAAAATCAATAATAAGAGCAACTCTAGTCAAATGAATAATTTCCACCTTGATGTATCCAACTGATCATTGATGCAAAGATTAACTCAACAAATGATAAATATATTAGTTTTCGTTGTTGGAACCTCCTAACAACTCAGTCTTTTTATTTAACTACCAGTGACTAAGAAACCTTCATTAACCACTCTATAGCCAAAAACACTACCTGGAACCTCCTAGGACTCAATTTTCGACAAACAAAGACCCAACTCAATTTCTAACAAACAAACCTTGTTTCATTAAAAACTGATTATTTATTCTTACAACACAAATAAACTACTTATCAAGTAATTATTTGCATTGTCTCTTCTAAGGAACAAACAAACCTTGTTGTTCAATAAATTAGATTATCTAGGAGAATTGAATGCTACCAGCTATTCAAATAATGCCAAATAATCATCAATACACATCAAAGAGAATAAATAAATACTCAAAATTCGTTGGTGAAAAGCAAACAGTTAGATCTCACAATTGAATAACATCAAGGCTTCAATAAAATCCTTTAACTAGAAAAAAAAGGTTTAGTTGCTAATCATGGTGAAATCAAAAACACAAGAATTGATGTTTGACATTACAGAGCTAAAACTGACGAAAACGGAGAGAAATCCTTGTCTTGAGCTCCAGCTATTGCTCCCTGTGTTGTGCCTCTTCTCCTCTCTCAAAATAATAAGAAAAAGACTATTTATATGCAAATTTAGGTCATCCCCATGTTGAGCCCGTCAAAAAATCGCAGCAACCAATTACAATTTTCAGAATTTGCAAATTGGTCTCTGAAGTTTGCCAAAATTATAAATTGACCCAAAACCCTGGAAATTTTGCACTTTAGTCCCTGTTTCAGCGTGCCCACGCGGGAATACAACATTGTTTCTGGAATTTCCTGCTTCTTCATTGATTTTGGCATGGATTTTGTGTGCCCACGCGGGAATCAACCACTTCTTCTCCAACTTGAAACTTGATTCAATGAAACCTTCAAAATCTCTTCAAAATCAACACTTTTCTTCTTTTTATTTCAAATCCTTCCAATGATCAAATTAAGAACCAAAGCACTAATATTAGCATAGATAATATTCAAAACAACACATAAACCACCACAAATATCATGCTAATATTAACATTATCAACTCCGCCACACTTAGATTTTGCTTGTCCTCAAGCAAACTTAAAAAGAATAACTTTTAAAACCACTAATTTGAACCACAAAATTTGGAAATCATTTAAAACACAATTTCAACTACCATGTCACACATCAATCATAAACTTAATCAATTAGGCAATCAAACATAAGCTCCTCTACTACTATGCATAGTCAACAAGATAGTTGCTTCATCCCTAAACTCCATCAATGATTGGAACAAAATCACCTCACCAGTAAGTTCCCTCATTTTCTTTCTTCTTTTCTCTCAAGTGTGGCGTATCAAACAATTCACACAAATCAATATCTAGCTGAATACACAAGAATTTGAAAAGGCGTCACATCATCATACACCAAGCAAATAAACTTACCAATAAAGGTCTTTACATAGGGTTGTAATGGGGCTTTAGGTAAGGAAAAGGGTGGATAATTATGGATGTAGGCTTATTTTTTGTCAAGATAGACCAAGTATACTTAAACTCTACCATCTTACCATATATCCCATATAATGACATTGCTCATCCTCACACTTCAGAGTTCAAGTGTGCTTTGCATAAGAACTTGCAGTAAACTTCTCATATTACATTTAAAAACCTATGGCATCTCAAAAATATAATTAAGAACATGCCATACTTTCAAACAAGTAGAAAATAGGGATTCATGCGATTTTTTTTCTTCTTTTTTTTCCGGGTATTTTTCACCTTTTTTTTTTTTTGCATTTTTCTCTTTTTTTTCGCACGCCCTATATTACATGAAATGCATAACTTAAAACAATAACACATGCCACTATAATGTCCAACTCTTACCACAAACCCAGTTTAAGCAACCTAATCCAGAGCTTGACAAAAGGGTAAGGATAAAAAAAACAAGGCTAATGGTTTAATGTATCTGGAGCTAAAGAAAAACGGTCAAGGCTTGAATGGTTCACTAGGGGTAAACATAAATGGGTAGGCTTTTTAAGCTAACTTGGCTAAATCCTAGTGCCTTTATTCTTGTGGCAAGCCATCTACAAGAGTACAGATGCGTCCTAGCTCGTCAAATTCAAGATTAATCCATACTAGATATGATATACTTCCCACATAAAAATGTTGAGCATTCAAATACACTAACCCTATTCGCTCAGAAAAGCTCAGATCACTCAATTTAAAGTAACTTTTTTGTGATAATATTCCAATCATCAACTTCAACACTTAAATTCACAACATATCTGAATAGTACATAGCAAAGAAAATTTATGTTTTTCATGCTTCACTTTTCAACCTATGATGATTAGCAACATAACAGTTGAAACGTTTGGAAACAGTGGTTCAGACTCAAAATTTTTGAAAAAGTTTCATCAAAAACAAGTCTAACTCTTTCAAGTAAGCAATTTAATGAAGACAAATTTGAAGCACACAAACTCCTTCCCCACACCTAAAGCATACATTGTCCTCAATGTATAAAACATACAGAGACAAAGAATAAAAGCACATACAAACTCCCAAATAATATTAAAGAGAAATCAAAACGGTACTTCCTTGGGAATTCATAGTGGAGGAATCAAACTTGATGTGAAGCGGGAGTAACACCTTTTTGCATTGGATCAAAAGGATTCACCACGTAGAAGAATTTTCCTCGAAAGCTAGCTGTCACACTCAAACAAACCATTAAAAAAAAAACTAACTCTACGTCGATTAAATGATTAAGAAAAACCACGAAAATCAAGAAATCATAGATCTCAAGATCATCAGGAACAAAAAACTTAACCCCCTAGTCGATTTATTCAAGAAAACAAATAACAAAAATCAAACCATTGGGTTACCTCCCAACAAGCGCCTTTCTTTAGTGTCTTTGGCTAGACACAGCATGCACCTCACTTACTCATATATGGGTGGAAGCAACGTAATTTCTTCCACACAAGCACTTTCAAAATTCTCAAGAGAAGGTTTTAGTCTATGACCATTAACTCGAAAAATCTTACCAGACTCCAACCCTTTAATCTCAATCATACCATGAGGAAACACCGTCATAACTATAAAAGGTCCATGCCACCTTGACCGCAACTTTCCTGGCATAAACTTGAGTTTGGAATCGAAAAGAAGTACCTTCTGGCCAACAAAATTTTTTCTTGTGCAAGAATTTATCATGAATAAGTTTTGTCCTCTCCTTATACAATTGAGCATTATCATAGGCCTCCAATCGAATCTCTTCCAATTCTTGAAGTTGCAACTTCCTTTCCAATCCTGCCTCATCAACACTCATGTTGAACTGTTTAACTACCCAAAAAGCACGATGTTCAAGTTCAACAGGTAAATGACACATTTTACCAAAAATTAACCTGTATGGTGACATCCCAATTGGCGTTTTGTAAGCTGTGCGGTATGCCCAAAATGCATCTTCTAAACGAAGACTCCAATCCTTGCGGTTAGGGTTCACAGTCTTTTCCAAAATTTGCATAATTTCACGGTTTGAAACCTCAGCTTGTCCATTGGTTTGAGGATGATATGTAGTAGATATACGATGATGTACACCGTATTTGCGCATCAATGCTTCGATTGTGCGATTGCAGAAATGGGTGCCTTGGTCACTGATGATTGCTCTTGGTACTCCGAACCTACTAAAAATGTTAGATTTAAGGAATCCTGCAACAACTTTAGAGTCATTAGTTCGAGTAGCTTTTGCTTCTACCCATTTCGACACATAATCTACTGCAAGCAAAATATAGAGATTACCAAATGAACTTGGAAAAGGACACATAAAATCCATACCCCAAACATCAAATATCTCACAAAATAACATTGGGACTTGGGGCATCTCATTCCTAAATGATATATTACCTACCATTTGACACCTTTCACAACTCTTACAAAAATGGTATACATCTTTAAATACAGATTGCCAATAAAAACCACAATCAAAAATTTTTCTTGCTGTTCTTTTCAGACCAAAATGTCCACCACATACATGAGTATGACAATAAGTAAGTATGGAATGAATTTCATCATCAGGAACACATCTTCGAATAATCTGATCTGACCCAAGTTTCCACAAATAAGGTTCATCCCATATATAATACTTTGAAGCACTTTTTAACTTATTCTTTTGAAAAGTACTCATACCAGGTGGAAATTTACCAATAGTTAAAAAGTTAACTATGTCAGCAAACCATGGTTCCTTACCTTCCTTACCTTGCATGGCCCATAAATGCTCATCTGGAAAGAGTTCTGAAATTGGTTGTGACTCTTCATCGCGCACCAACCGGCTAAGATGATCAGCAACAGTGTTGTTAGTTCCCTTTCGGTTTTTGATCTCTCAATCAAATTCTTGTAGTAGAAGAATCCATCGAATTAGTCGTGGTTTTGATTCCTTCTTTGCCAACAAGTACTTGAGGGCTGCATGATCAGAGTAAACAACAACTTTAGTACCTAACAAATAAGACCGAAATTTATCAAAAGCAAACACAATAGCTAAAAGCTCTTTCTCAGTGGTTGTGTAATTGCATTGCGCCGGATTAAGTGTCTTGGATGCATAATAAATCACATGGCTTTGTTTCCCGTCTCTTTGACCAAGTACTGCTCCTACAGCATAATGACTTGC